TTCTTTATTTATATAAATTCTATAATGTCCTTAATATAATGGTCATCGTGATATAAATTGTCCTTTCTCTTAATATATTAATTTACTAAAGTAGATGGGAGGGTAGAAATACAATAAATTAGGAAATAATTATTATATGAGAAATACAGCCTTTATATATAATTTTACTTTATTCAGACAATCAATGTGGTTGTATGATATAAATTTGAGAATATTTTACTGAGCATTATGCTTACTAGATTAATAGTGAGAACTTATCTAGCACTTACTGTATGCTCTACCCTATTCTAAGCACTTTTGCATGTGCTAATGCTTTAAGTCTCACATAACCCAATGAGGGAGGTACTATTTTTATCCTCATTTTACAGATGAGAAAAATGAGGAGCCCAAGGGTTAAGTGACTTGCCTGTGGTCATATATCAGGTAAGTGAGGGAGCCAGGATTTGAACACAAGCAGTCCACCTGAGGAATCTGTCAGAACTCCTAACTATGCAGTACCACTCCTCTGATAAAAAGTTGAATTGACATGACAACTTTTCCTCTTCATTTATGATTCGACCCTTTAAACAAAAAGAATGGCATCTTCTCACATTTATTAATTTGTCAGGAATGACCTGGATCATGAGTTGAGGAACTACATATTTAAAGTAGGAGGTTTATATTAATTTCAGACCACAATCTCAAGAATTGACTGTTTAACCCAGAGCCTGAATCATTCACAGATTAAAAACTAGAACCACTCTTCTGTAGGACCAGGAGGGTTTAATTATCAAACTCTTGCTGAAGTGAACAGAAATACTCCTTTGTTCAATCATTCATTCAATAAATATATTTTTCTGGTGTCTGCTCTTTACCAAACTCTGTTTGAGATGACAAGGAGACAGTCATAGACAGACCTTCTCTGCAACTCACAGAGGTTAGTTTCTTGGGAAGATAGACATAAACTTTTTCAGTCTCATAAAATAACTACAAATGTGTCAGGAAATAAAATACAAGACACTACCAGAATATATAGTAAGGACCTAAACGTGTGTGTGTGTGTGTGTGTGTGTGTGTGTGTGCGTGCGCGCGCGCGCGCGCACTGGGGTAAGGGTGGGAGGCAGGAAAGGGGGATCAAGAAGCCCTTCCAATACAAATGACCTTTGACCAAAATCTAAAGGATGAAGACAAGCTGAGTGATTTTCTATTCATCTATGTCTTTTGCTTTAAATGGCCTGAAGCCTGGGACTAACTAAACAGAGTTGTAAAATTCCAGTATGTAAATTGAATAACTAGGGATCATTTGAAGTAATGGACTGCAGAGTTAATGCATAATTAAGTCACATCTAGGGAAGATTTCCCATCATTATCACAGACAGCATCCTGTTTGCTTTCTTCACAGCACTTACGAAAATCTATAGCTATGTGTTTGGTGGCTCATTTAATGAAAGTCTAGCTCCCCTGTCTGAATGTGAGCTCCATAAGGACAGAGGCCCTGAATACCATATATGCTGACACTTGGCAGTATCTTTCATATAGTAAGCATTCTATAAATGTCTTGAATAGATGAATGTATAAAACTAAGTTAAAATGTTATTGAAAACTATAAAAATAAGCAGAGTTATACCAGAGGGGAAAAAATTAAGGAAAATCACTAAAATTTCTGAAGACATAGTACTTACATCTAAATGTGTGGCTTCGTAAGGTTAACAAATACTTAAATAATTTTGTAAAAATCCCAAGAAAAAATATAATTGGCCGGACATGATGGCTCACACCTGTGATCCTAGCACTTTGGGAGGTCGAGGTGGGTGGATCACCTGAGACTGGGAGTTCGAGACCAGCCTGGCCAACATGGAGAAACACCGTCTCTACCAAAAATACAAAAAAATTAGTCAGGCATGGTGGCAGGCACCTGTAATCCCAGCTACTCGGGAGGCTGAGGCAGGAGAACCACTTGAACCCAGGAGGCAGAGGTTGCAGTGAGCCAAGATCATGCCAGTGCACTCCAGCCTGGGCAAGCAGGCAAGGCTCTGTCTCAAGAAAAAAGAAAAAAAAGAACCACCATTTGACCTAGCACTTCCATTATTTGGTATATACCCAAAGGAAAATAAATTGTTCTACCAAAAAGACACATGCGCTCATATGTTTATTGCAGCACTATTCAAAATAGCTAAGACATGAAGTCAACCTAGGTGCTCATTAATGGTGGATTGGATAAAGAAAATATGGCACATCTACACCATGCAATACACCAGCTATGAAAAAGAAGGAAATCATGTCCTCTGTAGCAACATTAGATGGAACTGGAGACCAATTTATCCTAAGCAAATTAAAGCAGAAACAGAGAACCAAATCATGCATTTGCTCACTTATAAGCAGGAGCTGACCTTTGTGTAGGCATGGATGTAAAGTTGGGAATGACAGACACTGGTGACTACCAGATGTGGGGGGGAGGGTGTGGGGCAAGGGTTGAAAAAACTACCTATTGAGTACTATGCTCACTACCTGGGTGACAGGTTCAACTGTATTCCAACCCTCAGTATCATGCAGTATAAAATAAAAGTTGAAAATTCTAAAAATAAAATATCAAATCATAAAAAATTAAATAATAAGGGCCCAGTGCAGTGGCTCATGCCTGTAATCCCAGCACTTTAGGAGGCCAAGGTGGGCAGATCACAAGGTCAGGAGATTGAGACCATCCTGGCCAACATGGTGAAACCCCGTCTCTACTAAAAATACAAAAATTAGCTTGGCATGGTGGTAAATGCCTGTAGTCTCAGCTACTTGGGAGGCTGAGGCAAAAGAATTGCTTGAACCTGGGAGCTGGAGGTTGTAGTGAGCCAAGATCACGCCACTGTAATCCAGCCTGGTGATTTGTCTCAAAAAAATAATTAATTAATTAATTGAGGAAAAATAAATAATAAAACAACTGAATCTACTGATGTGTTTCATTGCTTTTTAAATATCCACTTTGAATTACTGAATATTTTAATATTTGTAGTTTTACATTTCAGCACAGAAAGTCTAGAAATTCAACCCTTGATTTTACAGAGACACCACATGATAGTTCATAGTTCACACAGCTACTTAATTGTGGAACTAGAACCAAAAACTTGCTCTCTGTGTGTCTCACATACCTTTTTGCTTTATTCTAAAAAAGGCATTTTTCAGTCTAAATGTACTATATTCTAAGATATTTTTAAAAGAAATTACTTATCCAAATCCCGCCTGTCTTGCAAGGTCCATGTGAAGCAATGCGATAAGGTCTGTGAAAGTGCTTCAAAACTATTAAATGTTATAAAAATGTTACGTTGTATTATTAGAACTACAGTTCATCGCTGTGAAACCTTCCTAAACTTTCTCACTTTTCTGAACTTGATTACACAGCATCTTTTCTAATCTATTTGTTCTTCCTTTATAAGAAAAAGTTAATCCTTTCTGCCCTGCTGGGTTCTAAGAAAAAGGACTCTCTTCTTTTCTATAATCTATTGATATTTTATTGTATTACACATCTAATGGGTTCCCAATAAATACATGTCAGATAGAATGAACCAGATTTCTTTCTAGACATGTGAAAAAAAAATCCTGATCTTTAAAAAGAAAGGATACTTTCAGAGATTATATATAGAACCTCTTGGTATTCTGTATTTGCAATGAAAATATTTTAATTTGTGTTATACTCAACAGTTGCATCATATCTGCATCTTTTTGCTAAAATTGAACAGGCTTCTCGTTTAATATAATAATTTCTAGCAACAGCTGGCAGGAAAAAAATATGAGAGCATAGTCATGAACTTCAGATTCTACACCCTTTACTTTTGGCATTCCGTTCCTCTGAATTATAGCTTACATTTCTTTATTATCTCAGTTTGATTTAGTATTTCTAAATATTCACCTCTGTTTCCATCCATAAATATTTACTGAATTTCCTTTTAATATACTATCTTTTTGTAACAGGTGAAACTCAAGTGTTGGTGGATTATTAATATAAATGGCACTTAGGAAATACAAAAAGACCATGACTTCCTTCAAACAAGTCAGGACCCTCAATTCTCAGCTCTGGCATTCCCATCGGATACTTAAACTTTATGGACAATCAAGTTGCCCATGTGGCTACAGCTTTTGTGGCTGTGCTGTACTTGGGAATTTTAATGTTACCCTCTTTGAATTAGGTCCTTCACTGATCATGCATCTCCAAGTATTTTGGTGCCATATACAACTTTTCTTTTGGAATCAGTCATATTTTCCCATTATGAATGCTACCTGCTGCTTATCTTTTAAGTGTATACTTTTAAACCTTCTCCTTATCTGTGAGTGGTGGTCCAGTTGACACTGGGTGAATTAGATGCTTATCCTGGTCACTACAGCTTCCTTTCCAGCCTTTTCTGCTCTTATGCCAAGCATGAGAATTCTCTCCTGATACTCAGGATCTAGGCCTGGGAAAATGGGATGAGTTGTCCTTTTAGGCCCAAAAGGAGTATTGTTTAATCCCTAGAATATGGTGAAGAAAGAGACTCTTGTTTTCTTTTCACCAAATGTGTCCATGTACATCCTTCTCCTTTACTGGTAGAGAGCAGGCTTGTTGAGGATCTACCCTCCTCCCCATAACCATGTGCATCAAGAGAAGCCCCAACGCAAGAGAATAAATGATGATAGTCCTGAGCTATTTCGTGGTGGTCTGGCAGTCTTGATTGCCCTCTTTGGAACTGGAAATGAGCATATTATGCAATTTTAGGTAATAACATACAAAGGGCATTTGGCTAAGGGAGCTTCTGAGAAAGGTTTTTCTCATCTAGAGAACTAAACAGGCATTCTTCTCTGGGCACTATGTCTACTTCCTTCTTCTACCTGGAACATTCTTTCTCCAGATATCCTTGTGACTGACTATGTCACTTCCTTCAATTCTTGTTCAAATCTCAAGTTTAAAAAAAAAAAGCCTTCTTAAAATTTGACCACACTAATTAGACAGTAACCTGCCCCATTCTCTTCCCAGCCATCTCAATCCATTTCCCCCTTACCTTTTCATGGTAGCTCTTCCAGGAAAGCACTCCCCTCCTCCATGTGAATCATGTCTCCAGGTAATTGTTCCTTGTGTAGAGGAACACACCGAATCTGGGCTGTTCCTGTATAACAAATTGAAGGAGGTAGAATGGATTCTGCAAGAACTTCAAGATAAGAAGGAGTCTTGCAGTTTCTGTTTTGGTCTTGTGGAATGCTCACTCTAGAGAAAGTGATCTGCCCTGTACTGAGTCCTAAGGCCACTGTGCTATCTACAGAAGCTACAAATCTAAGCTCTAAGCTACCCACATGGAGAAGCTGCATGGAAAGACAAATACATGGCTAGCCCCACGCTGTTGGCCAAAGATCCACAGCAATCCCAAGTGAGAAGCCAGATATGTGAGTGGAAAAAAACTGTCTGGTAGAGCCATTCCAATGGAGCCTTCAGATCACTCCAGCTTCAGCTACCACCTGACTGTAAGCACATGAAAGAACCCAAGCAGGAAATACCCAGCTGAGCACAGTCAACTCACAGAACCATGAGCAATAGTGATAAATTTTTATTTTTAGCCAGTAAGTTCTAGGGTGATATATAGCAAAAGGAACATCTGTCCTGTTTTTCCTATTTTTCCCTCCCATACGCTCACTCAGCAGAAGCAACGTGTTTAATATACTTTTTTCAATTTTCTTTCACTATGAGAAAGTGAGTTCCATGAGACCAGGAATATTGTCTCTTTTGTTTACTAACGTATCCAAATTACCTAACAACAGAGCTTAGCTCGGTAAATATTTGTTGAATGAATGAGTGAATAGATCAGAACTTCAGTAGCCATGTTGTATGTGGACCCTTCACCTAAGAATGGCAGAGTGGAAGGATGGGAGGAACCTGTAATAATATCATTATGCTTCTGGATTACCCAGTCCTGGAGCAGCCTTGCCTCTGCACTCCTTGACTAGTCAAAACATTTAATGTTGGGTTTTTGTGTTTTTCCATTTGCATCCCTATAAAAGAATACCTGAGGCTGGTAATTTATAAGGAAAAGAGGTTTAATAGGCTGGTGGTTCTGCAGGTTGTACAGGAAGCATGGTGCCAGCCTCTGCTTCTGATGAGGGCCTCGGGAAGCTTACGATCATGGCGGAAGGTGAAAGGGGAACCAGCGTGTCACATGGTGAGAGATGGAGCGAGCGGGTGGGAGACACCACACTCTTTTATAAACAGTCAGATCCTACGTGAACTCTGAGTGAGAACTCACTTATTACTACAAGAATGGCACCAAGCCATTCATGAGGGATCCACTACCATGATTCAGTCTCCTCCCTCCAGGCCCCACCTCCAACACTGGGGATTACATTTCAACATGAGATTTGAAAGGAACAAACATCCAAACCATATCAATTTTCTACAACCTGCAGCAGAAAGCATCTCATCTGGCACATGGTCTTTGAAGGAATTCTGATTTAGATGCATGGGACTCAGATATGACTGAACCAAAAGAGAAATCTAAGTAGCAGACACCACAGGATTCTCAAAAGCACTCTCTTGTTGACTGAGGCTTTTCTACTGAGCAAAGCATCTGGTTTATAATATATTTTTTCCTTACACCGTCTCCTAAGAGACCTCCTTAGTGTTCCTGCAATAGATATCTGGAGAGCCACCTAATCTCTTAGCAATGACTAAATGTGTAACCTCAGAAATGGTTACACCTTGAGCTTTCTCTCAGTCTAGATCAGATACATTGCCCATCCCACCAATTTGCCACATTTATCTAAATTTCTATCTTAAGCTGGAACCTCTACCACTCAAGCTAGGACACCGCTCACCACCACCGCACAGCAAAAACTGAGCATTTTTCATTAGCCTCCTACTTGCAATTGAGGGCATAAACCTGCAAAACAAGTAATCTAATTAAGGCACTATTTGGTTAATGCTTTTTTCTCAGAAATCACTTTTGCATGAAATTCAGTTCAGTATTTTATCAGTGACTGCATTAGTCTCGAGAAGAACAAAGATGTATATGACAAAGGCTCCCTTCAAAGATGATTAATACGTGCACTATGTACAGTATTACAAGGGCTCCACTAGAGATTTGAGCCCCCCAATGTGCAGAAGAGTTAGCAATAAATTTTGCACAAAGGATGACATTTGAGCTTGGACTTGAGCAATGAGTAGGGTTCCAAGAGGTTAAAAAAAAAAATGGGATGGCTTTCTAGGAAGGAGAAACAGCACAAACAAAGGCCTAAAGGTCTGGGAAGATCTGATATGCATCCTGAGGTAGTTATAAGTCTGGAATGACTGAGGTATGGGGTATATAATGGGGAAGGCAGCAGAGGTGAAATAAGTAATATCTAAGCAAATGAAATACATGTAATTAGGGGACATGCAATATAATTAAATTCTTTACCTTAATTCTTCTTTTGACTCTTTACATTTGTCAGTCATAAGGAAACAATTTCACTAAGATTGTTTTTACCTTTTTACCTTAGTTGGCCAAGTAAACAAGAGACAGAAAGTTTTTAATGTAAAATGTTCATTCAACCTGAAAGAACATTGATGATTCCAGACCATTTAAAGTTAAATATTTTAGAGTTTTCAATTATTTCTATTTGGATGAGTAGAACCTTGTTTCAGACGTCAGGAATATATGTTTAGTTTCTAACAGCCTAATTGTTCCTGCTTTCATGCCTGCTTCATGGGTATCAGCAGGTTCAAGGTCAGCAGGTAGGAATCTGGCCCCTAAGAATGCAGCCCAACAGTTAAGGAATGCATGATTACCTCTGTAATTACTTGAGAGGGGCTCTGAAATCCTGGCAGGGTTGATGAGGCCACCAGATAACACTGATCAAGAATGTACACGAGGTTAGGAATTCAGACTGTAGCTGAAGTGGAGAGTTAGGGTAAACAGATTCTGAGTGTAAAAGATCAAGAATTCAAACAGACAGTTAAGAAACCAACATCTTAGAAATGTAAACCTCACTTTAAGTCAAAGGCTCTCCAAACTAAGACTTCATAATATATTTACCAAGTCAAGAGTTAGTATCTACTCACCTGAGTGGTCCTGGACCTGCAGCCAGTAACAGGAGATTGCAGATGGAATGTGGGTTAGAATGTTTTCAGGGGCCAGTAACAGAACACCTGACATTAAAGTTCTTAAATTTGTCTTTCCCAAGGTTTTCTGGTCATATGAATCACCAGGTGTAATGTAATCACACTTGATTAAATTATTAATTCACAAGCCCCTTCACTGGAGAGTCTGATTTAGTAGATGTGGGAATATATCTTTTAACACGAACTGCAGTGGAATCAGGCAAGAAGTGAAAACGCTATCGTAAATAATAGATACATTAGAAGTAATAGAGACATCTGATAATTGAGCACAGTTCCCAAGCTTTAGTATGCACCAGAACCCCCCGGGGGCTTTTCAACTACAGGCTGGCAGGCTGCACCCAGAGTTTCTGACACAGTAGGTCCAGTGTGGAGTCTGAGAGTCTGCATTTCTAGTCAGTTGCCAATATATGCTAATACTACTGTGGTCAAGAACTGCACTTTGAGAACCACTAATCTAAAATAAACTGAAGTACAAAGGCCATCAGAACTACAGCTCGTTAATTCAACAGATTAGCTATATCAAGACTTGAGGCCAGCTCCTCTGAGATTCTCTTGTCTTCTTCCTCATGGTGCCAAGATGGCTTCCCACCACGCCAAGCAACATAGCCTCAGACAACAATAACCAAGACAAGAAGGAAGGGAATAAGGTACAAGGATAACTGCAGTGTGTGTGTGTGTGTGTGTGTGTGTGTGTGTGTGTGCGCGCGCGCGCGCGCACTCATGCCTGTGTATCTGTGTTTAGAAAAGAAAACACTTCCCAGAAGCTCCCCAAAAAATTTCCTCTTATGTGTCAGGTAGAACTTGATCCCACTGAACCTCTTTAAGTCAATCACTGGCTATGAGAAACAAGCTTACTGTGATTGGCTTAGACCAGATTTTAATTCTTTCCTCAGAGCTGGGTCCTTTGATGCCCAATGTCTGAATGTAATTGAGCTTCTTTACCAAGGAATAAGAAGTAAATAGCTGTCAGGTAGGCATATAGCTGGGTATGTCCACAAAAGGGTTCTGAAACAAGTATGATTATAGTTAGGTTCAGAGTTGAAAATATGAACACAAATGCTAGGAAATAATGTGTGGTATTGGCTTTGTTATCACCATTTGCAGCAGAATAACAGTTTCATGAAGAATTTGGTGCAGCCGTTGGAGAAAAAGTGCCTTTTCAAAGCTCACAGTATACATGTAGTCATCTTGCTTTTATTATACCTTTATATGGAATTGCAAGCTGTCCCTTCAGGTAATGAAGTTTAGACAAGTTGGAACCTGTATAACAGCAAATCAATACTGAAGTTATAGGCAAAGCCGGTACTTTTGCAGACTAACATATAGGAGAGAAAGACTTTGTGATCAAAATTCAACAAATTCCACATTTATAGGTATCCAACATAGAAAACTATATATAGTGGTGTGTCTTTTTATGTGTTTGCATTATTCTCCTTATTCATTCCTGAAAGTGTATTTTCTTTTAACAAACTCACAACTCAGCTGCACCCCATATACCCACAGTCAACACAGAGTGGAAAATTGAGTTGTTTATTTGAGCCTCAAGTCATCCAAATACTTCGATAAAGGTTGTAGTAAATTCAGACAACACTAATTCCCATATCCAGGGAGCCTAACTTGCTGCCCCTGAATTCAACAATAATGTCCTCAGTCTTCTGTACCCTTTTATAGTAGGAAGTAGTAACTAATGTGAGACTATCTCTCGTTTTATTTTCCTTTTCAGACTAGCTTTTGTTAAGGAAATTGCTAATTTTGAAAGAGAAGCTAAGCTAAGGTGACAAATATATATTCTGTTGGTCTATATCTAAAATTATATATTACTCCTTTTTTATGAGAACTTACAGTAGTTTGCACTTTACATAAAAAACTGATGTCTACCATCTTTGTGAGCACCATCCAGCCTAACAGTTGTTGTTTTGAATGATGCCACAAGCTTTTTCCAGAAACCAAAACCCTGATTTCCAAAGACTGTAGTCTATATAGCTGAGCCCCTCATTTCAGAATCATTAAACTATGGTT